GTTTTATAACGTGGGGGGTCTTAGTTTTATAACAGGGTCTTAGTTTTATAACGTGGGGGGTCTTAGTTTTATAACAGGGTCTTAGTTTTATTACATGGGGGGTCTTAGTTTTATAACAGGGTCTTAGTTTTATAACGTGGGGGGTCTTAGTTTTGTAGGTCTTAGGTCTTAGGTCTTTGTTTTGTAGACACCCTATTATATTATAGGATTTAAGCCATTGACTCAATGCATTGTAAATGATTAAATTTAACATATGTCCTGATTCTAGACTATGAATGAGGGTGGTAGTCCGAATTCAAAGCCTAGACTAGAAGACATAAGTGAATTGAAGCATCCACTATTCATTGAATCATGTGCTTTAATTCAATTTCACACATTGCAAAATATGTTTTACAATTTCACTTAACAGAATGATATTTTTTCAAGATATGTTGTACTTTTAGAATCATTTGCTTCAAAGAATTGAACTATTTTTAAAATAACACATTTGCGATTTGTGCCTCGAATGCTACCCTTTTGATCCCTTTCCCTCAATAAAAGTAAAAGTCCTCTTTCCTTGTCTCTTTGGTGTGCCAGTGCAAGATGTTGAAAGTTAAACCCACTGGAAGAAATTTTGACAGCCATGGTTTTGCTAATGGCATTACTTGAGACTAATTGTTCAAATGAGCTGAAGTTTTTGAATTCTTCATTTTTTCTTTTGTGTTTTAATAACACATCCTCTACTGTAAAACTATTTGCAATAAGATCAGATTTTGAAAGAGAACTTTGCATCCCAAGCGTGTCCAATGCAATTGAATCGTCCTGTGCATTATATGCATTATATGATTTTTGTGCAATGTGTTCATAAAGGACACTTTGAGTGAACTTAGTGACCTGACCTTTTATATGCAGTTTTGAAAGGCTTGAGGGTGTCCACAAAACCTGATACAGTAGATTGAAAGTCATGCTCTAGATTATTCTGTTGTACGTGATATATCAGTCGTGGAGCATCAAATGATCTTGCATTGTGACCTACAAGCAACACAGGTGAATGGATACGAAGAAGATAGATAGAAGGTGGCCATTTTGAAAAATGGCTGCCATTTTTGCTGTATACTTTGTTTGTAAAAATGCCAGCCATGGCTTTTCGATGGCATTTGCTACACTTTGGTGTTGCTGTTGTCTAGTTGAAGGATGGATGGACGGAAAAATGGAGGGGTCTCTATAGCTTATCCCCTAATCTTCGTTGGATTGAACAATTGTGAATATGGTTTGTTGGACAAATAAAACTGATTGAATGTCTAAAAGCAAATAATGAAGTGGTCATTTATTTAAAATCATAAAAATCTCAAACATGCTTGTTTTGGTCTAGTAACTTACTTCCTAAATGTCCCGTAATTAGTATCTATATACCTTATTAGATGCAGTGAAGGAGTTAAATCATTGGGATATGAATAAATCATGCAAAACATATTTTGTACATATGTCTCATCATTTAGGGTTACCCAGTAGTTTACAAGCTGACCTTTGCAAAATATATTTCACTTACTATCCGCATTCGCTAGATCACGCTATCTAGTTTCTTTCCAAATTGGCTTGGATTGCATGGTTAATTGGTTTTAGCGAACCGTCCATTTCGTCGAACCATCATTTTGCTAAGGTTGTTTGTGATGAATATACAATATTCAGTTGCATATAACTGTACAGCAACTTTATGCAAGGGAAGGTAATTGTGTGAGAGCACATAAAGTACATGAAGTATTTACCCACTTGTCTCAGTGAATCTTATAAACAGTGCATAAAGTTTTTTCTATGCAATGATTGGCTCACAGTTACTTATAGTGTAAGTTATTTTATTTCTATACAGTGTGGAATAGAGTGTATAAACTTTTACAGTTTCAAGCAGGTTTTAGTGTTTTCTGACCAATGATATATTCAGACTTATTCATTTCACGATTATGTAATACTGACCTACATATCTGTATAGCATATCTTTAAACAGTACAGCTTATTGCAATTGCATTCATTACATTTTTACAATACATTGCCATTTTTATAGTTTCAATAAATGATATACTTTGATAAAAACGGGAGATTAAAATTAAAAATTAATTAACGAATTGACTTTTTTACAGGTAACCAATGACAGTGTTAAATTCTGAGATGGTACTTATCGGAACCTTGAAGGAACTGATGACTAATTTTTACTTCCTGGTTCACGACAAACTGGGTGAATTCTATAAATGTATTACATGGGAGTCAATGGAAGAAGAGGTTTGGTGAAACAAAACATTGACTGTAAATGGAACACAGGTTAGATTAGGTCACCAAAATTCTATGATTAATACAAGAGAGACAATTCAATTAATAATTATAACCTTCAGTTTATTTCAAATTATTTTTCCAGAGTAAACATACGAAATTATTAAATTCAAAAAATGACACTATCAATGGAGGAACTTACTTCCCAACTAGCCTAAATAAAGTTCACTTAGTGGGCATTGTTTCAAACACTGTCAGAAAAACTGTAGAATATGACATAATTCATGCATTGTTGAATAATTGTACATGAACATGTCATCTGATCTATTTAGTATTGTCAATAAATGCAGTCTATACTGCAGATATTGAGCATAAGATACTCAAATATAGCTTTATATAAAAAATATGAATATAAACCAGATCCTTGTTTATTTATTTTCCACAATATTGTAATTAAGACTTTTGATGATCTTTAGAATGATATATATACATACATGTACCACTCAAAAGGTTGAGGACTTCTACCACCCTTTTCTTTTCTCATAACTTTTTTCCAGGCAGTTAACAGTTTCTTGTTCTTCTCATTTTATTTGTGTTTTTTTTAAGACAACAATAAAACATCTGATCTGCACATTTTCATGATAGGAAACTAGACATGTGGTCCTTAATGTTTTTGAGGAGTACATATGGAACACCTTTCATTATAAAACCACATGGAATCAACTGATACAAAGGATGAACATCAAAGTTTATAGCACACACTTATGATATGAAAATGAATTAGGCCAATACAAAATCATAAAAATGGTAACTTACATGTTTGCCCAAAACCAGTGTATCTTAAAAGCATATGTATACTGTGCCACAGTGACAGTGTTCAGGATGATAGTCCTGTGGCAGGATAAGGCCCAGCCATTAGACATTGATGGACTATATGACACATTTCAGAGAAAAATATTTTAGAAAGAAATTCTAGTTGAGATGCTACCTTCCCCCTTTCTCAGGATCTAATGGCTGTCCCTATATATTACCTCAGTGAATTTTAGAGTGTAAATTCAATATGAGCCAATAATTACAGTAGAATTCATTTGGAAAATAACCTGAATTCTAACCTATACATAACAGATTGTGTTAACAGTTGTGTGATTCTGAATCAATGAGGGATTTCCTATTTTCTCCAAGATTAAATAAGCATTTATTTTATAGTTACACTAAAATCTCAAAATTCTTCATAAACTCAAATATATCAAGTAATATCTACAGTGATGCGATTTCTTTCAACCAGCAACTCAAAATATAACATCACATATACATGTACAGATGTATGTTAGCATATCAAAAGGCAAACTAGTATGGAATGATACTACCCAAAGGTATACATACATTACAGGTGCTACAGTTTTTCACTGAAACTCTTCAATGTTAATGTGCAGGTTGTGTGTGTGAACCATACTTGAACAGATCCAGACTGAAAATAGTGGATTTTCCAATCTGTATATAATATCACTATCAAGAATATCTACAGGCACTACCATGTTATAATATCCAAAGTACCTGTGGTCTAGGAAACAGTACTCGTATATGCAAAGCAGTAAAAGCATAGCATTTAATGAATACATATTTCATTAGCTTAAATTTCAAAAAAATATCTGGCCACTTGAATGATATACATTTTGATATAGAAGGAATTTAATGCCTAAAAGACCAATTACTCATATCAGTGTCTACATGTATTTAACATACAAGTACATTTTCAGACTGCATTGTCTATTTGAGCGTAGTGTGATGCATAAAAGCAACATTTGCATTATAAAATAAAATAAAAAGAGCATTAATATACATTTGCATTATGAAATATTACATTTAAAACAGCACTATTTAAATAAATAGAAACATAGTTTTTTGTATTGAATTACATGAGCATGCAGTTTTTTTGAAAACAAAATAATTCAATTCAACTCCAGAATTCAAAAAAGAACATTGAATTGACAAAACCTCAAATAACTTGGCTCACCAAGAACATTTCAATATTACAGTTCCTATAAAAATATCTCAAATTGTTCTATTGGGAATTGGAAAAGATAATGCTGAGAAGATTTCTTTCGTCATGTTGGTGACTAAAATAAATAAAATACCCCCCCCCCCTCTTCTCCATAATCATTGTGTATTCAATCATCTATGTCATACTGACTTTAAATTACATTCAGTTAGACTGTTAGAGTGAAAAACACTCTGCTGTTTACGAGCATGTATTTTTCAAAATATTTATATCTCATCTTCATTTTTCTCACCCTGATTTAAAATACAATTAATACATGATTCCCCATCATCCATTAAGGGTCATTAGGATTAGATTGTTTAAACTGGATATACACAGGTGATTCTGTTTTTCAGTATGTTAAGCATTTTGGTATAATTTATATCTATTTATTTATTTATATAATTGGCATGGCGTACATGGTTGTAAGTATTGTAAAATTTGTATGTGCTATGCATGCATACCTAACCACTACAAAAAGTGTAAAACACTACATAATGCTATTATAATTAGCAGTTGGAAATGTAGTTATAAAGCCATAATAAAATACATACACTTGTATATCCAATACAACAACTAATCAGCTTGCACCAGTTTAATAATAAATATTGTACTTCTACTTAATTTGGCACTACTTATTTTGGTGGATTTGCTGTTTTGAACATTTGGAGGCTACTTAATTTGGCGGACTTGCAATTTTGAAATGTATATACTGGACATATTTACAATTGAAATATTGAATTTGGTGGCTTCTTTACTTGGCAGACTTTAACAATTTGGCAGATCCGCCTAATTAAAATGGCTGTCAAATTGAGTAGAAGTACAGATGATTTTGGCGAATAATGTTAATGCTGTGCAATCATGACGACCACTTGGCTCAGATAGTGGCAAAAATATAGACTAGCACCCTTGTTCTATTTATCACAGCTGGATATGATATCCTTCCTAGGGATACCAGCCATATGGTACATTGGGTAGTGTTAATTCATCCAGTTCCATGTTTTGTAGATTCAAATACACCTTTCTTGAAGAATGTGGAAAACTCGAGGAGTACTTGTTTATTGATGTGTTTATTTTTAGTGGCATGTAGCGGACAATTTGGCAACTTACGGCATATCTCGATCACATTACGTAGGTAATTCTGAAAAATGAAATGAAAAGTGTTAAGTAAGGTGAATCCAAGTGACAGCTTTGCTAACCATTTTATTTGTATTATGTTGGGAGCTCTTAAGTATGTGTATGGTAAAAATACTTTTAAGTATTCATAATTACTAGACATGTAAATTGAACAAGTTCAATTTAAGACTCCAGATTTCAGACTTTTTTTAAGCTGAGTCATCCAAATACTTGTAAGCTGAGTCATTCAGAATAAGCTGAGTCAGCTAGAATATAGACATTTAGACAACTTTTAAGAATGTTATCTTCGACTCCATTGGCTTAATATGGGGATATCATCATATCGACTTTTCGAGACTTCAAACCGCTATAACTATCTAATCAGAAGTTGGATCGAAATTTGGTTTAAAAATTCTGATTCCTGAGAAAATTCTACCCTTAATTCATAACTCATACGTTAAATTTTGAGAACTTTTTATTTTGACCTACTTTTCAGACACCATATCTCAAAAGTGGGTCAAAATACTTTCTGACGGCAGAAGGCTAACACTATAAGCACACTCTTTGCTACCTGTATACAAAATTTCGAAGCAAATCATTAAAGTGTAATGTCAGAATCGCAAAAATAAGGAAAAACTATGAATTTGACCTAGATTTTGACCTAGGCATTTTGGTGTCCAAATTTTGAAGCTAGATAGCCTTCGAGGTCCCCTTCTTTTATAGGCTTTCAGAATGTTAAGCTGTACTCAGTTTATATCTGGTATTTTACACTTCAAAAAAATCTTTTTTCTCATTGACATAACATGGGGCACCAAATTTAGCGATCTTTGAGCTTTCAAAACGCCATAACTTCCGAATCGAAAGTCGGATTGAAATTTGATTTGCAGATTCGGATTCCTGGGAAAATTCTACCCTTAAATCATAGCTCATATGTTAAATTTGGAGAACTTTTTATTTTGACCTACTTTTCGGACACCATATCTCAAAAGTGGGTCAAAATACTTTCTGACGGCAAAATGCTAACACTATTAGCACACTCTTTGCTATTTTGAAGTAAATTATTAAAGTGTAATGTCAGAATCGTAAAAATAAGGAAAAACTATGAATTTGACCTAGATTTTGACCTAGGCATTTTGGTGTCCAAATTTTGAAGCTATGTAGCTTTTGAGGTCCCCTTCTTTTATAAGCATTCATTATGTTAAGCTGTACCAAGTCTATATCTTGTATTTTACACTTCGAAAAAGTTTTTTTTTTTCCATTGACTTAACATAGGCACCAAATTTAGTGATTTTTGAGCTTTCAAAACGCCATAACTTCCGAACCGGAAGTCCGATCCAAATTTGGTTTGCAGATTCGGATTCCTGAGATCATTCTACACTCATTTCATAACTCACATGTTGAATTTGGAAAACTTTTCGTTCTGACCTACTTTCCGGACGCCATATCTCAAAATTGGTAAGAGTAATTAAAATTCTGATGTCATATCTTTGATTCGCCTTCTTCTAACCTACACGGTGAAAAAAAGATGAAGGAGTTACGAAGAATATTGACGAAGATATGATGAAGAATGTTGTTAATGTAAGATTTGACCTAGTTCTTGACCTTTGACCTAGATAAAAATTTGACCTAATTTCCCAGAAAGCCGGATACAGTCTTTAGTTAACCATGTACGTTGGATTAAGTAAGAATAAGATGTTATAGTTGGAGAGAAAATCTGTTAGGAGGAAGAAAGAAAAAAGAAAAAGAATAATAAAAAGAAAACAGGCAAAAACAATAGACTCCAGATTTTCAATCTGGAGTCTAATTAGTACTCATTACCACATGTTTATAGATTAAGCATACACTATCACACTGCAATGTTTTTACCTCTAACTGGACTCTACGCTCTGAGAGAACCTTTTCAGAACGGTTACCAAACCAGCGTTTAGGTGGAAATGCCAGTGCACCAACCTGTAACACAAAGATTGAAAACAAGATTTACTTCATGACTTTTTTTAAATATTGGTGAAATTATACTCCGGTACCGAAGAACCTAGGCACTGTCCTTTAGCTTAGTTGAGCACAATACAATTTATCAATCTGAAAAATTAACCTGGAACTTTTGTGTCAGCTTGAATACTGATGTACTAAGTCATAAGCACACTCATGTTGTATATTGCAATGTTTTTACTCACCTCTATTAACTCATTCTGTAATGTGTTGTTACTTACCTCTATATACTCAAGCTCCAATGTGTTGTTACTTACCTCTATATACTCAAGCTGCAATGTGTTGTTACTCACCTCTACATACTCAAGCTGCAATGCGTTGTTACTCACCTCTACATACTCAAGCTGCAATGGGTTGTTACCTCTACATCTCAAGCTGCAAAGTGTTGTTACTCACCTCTAAATACTCAAGCTGCAATTGGTTGTTACTCACCTCTACATACTCAAGCTGTAATGTGTTGTTACCCACCTCTACATACTCAAGCTGCAAAGTGTTGTTACTCACCGCTAAATACTCAAGCTGCAAAGTGTTGTTACTCACCTCTACATACTCAAGCTGCAAAGTGTTGTTACTCACCTCTACAAACTCAAGTTGCAAAGTGTTGTTACTCACCTCTACATACTCAAGCTGCAAAGTGTTGTTACTCACCTCTACATACTCGAGCTGCAAAGTGTTGTTACTCACCTCTATATACTCAAGCTGCAAAGTGCTGTTACCTACATTTTCATACTCAAGCTGCAAAGTGTTGTTACCTCTACATACTCGAGCTGCAAAGTGCTGTTACTCACCTCTACATACTCAAGCTGCAAAGTGTTGTTACTCACCTCTATATATTCATGCTGCAATGTGTTGTGTAGCTCTCTAAACCTGCTATACCTCCTGTAGACAGACCAGCTGTCTCCTAATACATTCACCTAGCAATGTAAACATCAACAATTACACATATAATCAAGATATGGAGGTGAGTCAGAGGAGTATCTACAGTAGTTAATCCTTAAAACATACCAAATGTAGACACTTAGTTACTGCCTATAATGTACATTTTATAGAGTCCTGTCTTATAGCAATTTGTTCACTGAGTGAAGGTTTTTATTCATTACACATGCATTCATTGAATGTTTTATCATATCGACACATTCATAAATCTGGCAAACAGGTTTTTGTTACAGATTTAAAAACTTATGACAATGTCATATAAGGCATTAACATGCATGCAAAATGTCACCAACTGTCATTTGCTATAGATGCCAAACATCAACTGTTGAACACTGTCCACAAAAATGTTGGGGACTATTAACAATCATGTGTCATTTTATAAAATTGTTATATTGTAGATTAGAATCACAGTCACATATTTAATAGTAAAGCAATTTTATTGCACCAAATGGGCAGCTTGGTCATATTCTCCATATCAGCAAATATAGTATATACAGCACAGGTGTACATGTAGCTCATACTGACATATTTGTTTGCCTTACCTTGACTTCATATTCATAGTGAGCATCTATTCCATAGCCTCTCATTGTGAATGATGGAATGTCAATTATTATAGGGTTCTCTATGGGCAAGTTTGGCATTGAAGTGGAACGTTTGGGCATTGAGCTGGCTGCTTGAGGACCCTTCTGAAATACGTTCATTTCTTTGATTACAAGACATGTAATTGTTTCTTTTTTTCTGTTATTGCTTAAAGTCTGTATTAAATTTTGTACTTCTGGGTTTTCATATTTAATACATACACTGGAGCAATGTTACAGTATTCATGTTAGTACATTTATCTGAGGAACTTAAGATTAGAAATCAATCATGTCAATGGTACAGTGGTAGGCCCTACAGCCAACTACTGGCCTAATGATTGACCAATATGCGCTTACATTATTTCCCCATTTTAAATGGCCACCAGAACCAAACCCTATCTCATGTAATCAATGGCAAAAACAAATTCATGACCTATTTCTATTTTGAGAGTAACTGGTTCTTGAAAGAACCATTTAGTTATCAAACAGAGGATAACAGAGTGATCCTGAAAAGAACTGCAGTGCAGTATGTTCCTCAGGCATTTCCTCATCCTCAAAACTGTTCTCCGAAGAATTCTCATCATCAATGAGGGTTACTAAGTGCATTGGATTCAACCCATGATTCAAACAAATTAAAATGAACTCACTCTTGGCACCCATACATCTCCATTCTGATTCTGTGGCAGCTTTTCCCCAGTCTAAAACACAAAGGGACAGAAGAATATATCTTAATCCTTTACACTGAAAACACTAATATACATGAAGACTGTGATCATGATCTAGAGCAATATATGAATTTGAATAGAGTATGAAATGTTTTTTGAAAGCAGACATTTTGAATTGAATCCTCATCAATGAATTTCTGATTTAATCTTCAGACAGTACAATTCATATTTGACTATTAGGCAACCTTGTTACTAAGAAATTTATATATCTCAAAACAATTAACCAAGACAAGGCTATAGGTGATGTTTAAGGGGGAATCTTGGGGATTGATTAAAGGGGAGACTTACCATGACAGAGGCATAAGGGTTGCTTTTAGAAGGAGCAGGAAGACTGTTATCACTGAAAAATATTAGCGGGTTATATATATTTTGTATGATATATATTGGTGGGTAATGGTTCTTTATAGTATAGGGGTAGGCCAAGTATATTATCTATTTTTGATTATACTTGAAAGCCATTGAATAAATTTGTGAATCAAATATATTTCCATACATATATCCAAATGAGCATCCTTTAATTCAAAGGTAGAAATAGAGAATTTTTTTTTATAAAAATCAGGAAAAGTTGGGTAATAGTTTTTTGAATCTAGATTAATTAGAAAGTAGATGAAGACTAGAGTATTTCTGGGGTAGAACCATTTTTCAGACAATCACTCATGCCATAGAGAAGAAGGGAAAATTGAATTATTCAACACAGCACTACAGATTAATTTACTCTCTTGGGTTAAACCTACCTTAATTCATATTTTTTCCTCAACCTTTCTAATTCCTTTTTATGAGCCAATCGGATCTTCTGCAATTCTTCATCTCTTTCACGTTTTTCCTTCTCTCGTTCTATCCTTCGTTGTTTTTCTCTTTGAACCTTTTCTTCAAACAGGCGCTTTTTCACCTCTTGCTCCACCAAGGAATTAATTCTATCAAAATAAAAATAAATACATAATTGAAATTAAATTAGTGTATTATAAACTAGGTCACACTTGAAAACAAGTTAAGAAATTCAACCATGAAAAGTATGACATAAAACATAATAATGTTCTTACATCTCCATCAATCTCACATTTTAATGAATGCCAATCTTTTTGAAAACTTGAGAAACCATTCTTTAAATATCACTACACATATCTGGTGTCTTCATGTCTTGTTATCCTATTTTGGAAAATTGATCTGCAATAATTAAATTAACTACTAAAGTATGAATTTCAAGATTTTTGGAAGATTTTCACATCAATTTGAGCAAGAGACCTATCCTGATGTTCCATTTCCTGCAGTTTGTATTTCTCAATCTCAATTCTGTCAAGTTCTTTATTCCTTTCCTCCTCAAACTGATTGCGCTTTACTTCCAGATCTTGTTCTGATTTCTTACACAACTCCTCCATCTTGTGCAGCTCCTGGAATATTCAATATTTATTTTATTTGAGATGTATGCAAGGGGAATTTTCATATTCCAAAAAAAGCAACAAAAGAATGGACAGATGAACAGACAACTTGGTGATTCCATAGACTCACAATTTTATTACACTATTTTTTTTATTACACAAGTAATTATGCACTTTTAAGAATGTATGTGGCATCTTGCCAGTTATGAAAAATATTTTAATTTTACCATGTTCTCATTAGGATGCTTAAATATGTTAAGGAGATAATATGTCACACATACACTTATCGTAATAAATGAACCTCCTAAAGTCAATCCATAGAAACTGATAACCCAGGGTATATACTCAAGGAAAGTAGCAATTTAACCATTTACTTTTACTTTTGACATGTAATGCCTGGGTCACATTTGCCCCGATCCATCGGCCGGCAGCCAGCTGATTGAGTGTTTTGTTCAATATTGTATTCAATTTTGAACAAAATACTCAATCGACAGGGCGCTGTAGTGAAAACCGGGGCAAATATGTCCAAGGCATTAGACATGTAAGATATGGCATCTTTTTTCCCATTACCCTTGAGTAAAACATTGCAAGAGCCTACTTCATGAGAAAACCCATGACTACACTTACATCCAGCCTCTTCCTCATCTCAGTCTTGTCCATAAAAGATGACTTCTGCTCAGAGATGGAGCTCTGCCTGCCTGTGATGTCATACCTCTGTTCTAAGATATCACCTGCCATCAGAACAACATTTATTACAGTTTAATTTACAACATACATGAAAAAGCCTTATTTCAAAGATTTAATTTTATTAATTCATGTGAATGAATGTTAAAACAGACTGAGTGCAGTGGCGTAGCGTGGGTATTTTGTGAGTGTACGCCGCGAGTAAGCGAAATAGACGTGCTTTGAGGGGGGTTCGGGGGAGGTCCCCCCAAGAAAAAAAAGAAAGTGAAAAAGAAAATGAATTTGAAGCGTTCTGGGGCGTTTGAAATACGAAATTCCAACTATATACGAATAAAATGTAAATTATTAGCCATTTTTGAAGTGTGGGGCAAATCAATATAAAAAATCAACTGTTGAGAGTACGCCATGGCGTTTTATGCGTATATGACGCTACGCCATTGGAGTGTGTTCTCTTCTTCATTTATTCTTTTACTGTTATTTACTACTGAAAATGAACTTCTGTAGATATTTTGTTTCTGTTTTCAGAAAATGTTTTTATTTCATAGATTCTGAAATGTATTGGTCTTTTTCAAACATTGCATTACATTAGATTAGATGCACTGTTTCAAAAACACTAACTCATTATTAAAAACATTTTCTTAAATATATAAATACAAATAATAACTAGATTTTGGAAATTGAACGAAGTTCAATTTCAGACTCCAGATCTAGACTTTTTTTAGCCGAGTCATCCAGAATAAGCCGAGTCATCCAGAATAAGCTGAGTCATCTAGAAAGAGATGGATAAATAAAATAGGAAGGTAGGATAGGATAGAATAGGAAAGAACGATAGGATAGAATAAGAAAGAAGGATAGGATAGAATAGAATAGGAAGAAAGGATAGGATAGGATAGGATAGGATAGGAAGGAAAAGATATGAAGGAAGGATAGATAGGAAGGATAGGGTAGGATGAGATAGGAAGGATGGATGAATTTTTCAATATTTTCTTCTCTACTCTTGACTTTCTATCAGGATACCATCAGATCGATTTTTCTCGAAATTTCAAAACGCTATAACTTCCGAACCGGAAGTCGGATCGAAATTTGGTTTTCAGATTCGGATTCCTGACAAAATTCTACCCCTATTTCATAACTCATACGTTAAATTTGGAGATTTTTTATTTTGACCTACTTTTCGGACACGCCATAACTTCCGAACCGGAAGTCGGATTGAAATTTGGTTTGCAGATTCGGATTCCTGACAGAATTCTACCCTTAATTCATAACTCATATATTCAATTTGGAGAATTTTTTATTTTGACCTACTTTTCGGACACCATATCTCAAAAGTGGGTCAAAATACTTTCTGACGGCAAAAGGCTAACACTATTAGCATATTCTTGGCTACATGTATACAGAATTTCGAAGAATATAATTAAAGTGTAGTGTCAGAATCGAAAAAATAAGGAAAACCTATGAATTTGACCTAGATTTTGACCTAGGCATTTCGGTGTCCAAATTGTGAAGCTAGATGGCTTTTGAGGTCCCCTTCTTTTAAAGGATTTGATTATATGAAGCCATACCTGCCAACCTACCGTATTTTTACGGGAATCTACCGTAAATTTTTCGTTTTTCCGTAAAAAATGACAAACTACCGTAAGAAAATGCCATTTTTTTCCCGTAAAAACGCCCGTAAAAAATCTACCGTATTTTTTTCGGAATCTACCGTAAATTTTTTTTAAAAAAACTCGTTTTTTCGCTGAGAACGGCCGGAAAATTTACCGTAAATTTTTGAAAATCTACCGTAAAATTTTGAAAATCTACCGTATTTCTGCTAAAATCAACAGTATTTTTGTTCAAACTACCGTAAAATCTCCCGTTTTTGTATGGAAATACTTAAAATTGAAGTCTTTCTGTACTGTCCCTGTAATATACCTTTACCAAACCGAATATAAGTTATCGGCAGGATATTAAATCGATTCAAAATTCTAAATCACATTCCCCGTCCGGGAAAGTCCATGAAGTTCGTAAACAGACCGTAGAACGTTGTAGCTACGTTCATTCAGTTCGCACACAGTTTAAAACCAATTCGGCAACGTTTTGCAGAACGCAGTGACAACTGGTTCTGGTGTGATAGCTATTTTTGTTAATTCGTTCATACACTGTAAGCAGTTTTTAATATGTTCATCTCGTCTTTATTCCGTCTGCAGTCAATGGTATCACGTTTAGATCGGGTTAAATTGTGCGTTCGTCTGGTCTACACAACGCAACCAAGCAGTTCAATTACGTCCAATTAAACCAGTTGACAATTAGTTGTACCTCGTTCTCAATACGTCCTAATATGTTACTAAATTATCCACCAAATTTCCATACGGCTGAACTCGTTCTAAAATAGTAACAATCGTGTCCCTAATCCGTGCAGAACGCATTTATGGTCGAGTTGGGTCTGTCTACGAACAGAATGAACGAGCTACAAACGGACTAGATTGGGGTACTCATGGCTGCAATTTACGTCTGACTACACAACGTCGTAATACGTCCCTAGTAGGATTGAAGTACGACACTTCCGTTCGTAGTGTGTCCCCAGTGCGTCCAGGTCGTCTTAAGTACGTTATCACTCGTGCTGATTGCAGAACGTGACGATCACCAGAAAATTTTGAGCATGCTCTAAGTTCTGGAGGACCTACTGGTTCGAGTAGTTTCATGACGTTTGTGACAGATCCCAAACGGTTCTTAATGTGTTCTTAGTACGTAAACTCCGTTCGTGCACAGTTTAAGCCCGTTTTCGAGAACGTAGAGAACTAGTTTGGTGTGATAACAGGGTTAACATACTGTTTTATTCATTAGTTTTTTAGAAATCTACCGCAAAAACTTCCGCATTTTTTCAAAATCTACCGCAAAACTACTGCATTTTTTCAAAGTTTTCCGCAAAATTATTTTTTTTAAATCTACCGCAAAAACTACTGCATTTTTTCAAAATCTACCGTAAAAGTACCGCATCCTTTGCAAATCTTCCGTAAAAGTACCGGTTTTTCAAAAAATTACCGTAAAAACTGCCGCATTTTTCGAAATCTACCGTAAAACTACAGCATTTTTTCAAAATCTTCCACAAAACTACCGGTTTTTTCAAAAAACTTCAGTAAAAACTACCGCATTTTTTCAAAATCTACCGTAAAACTACCGCATTTTTTCAGAATCTTCCGCAAAACTACAGATTTTTCAAAAAGCTACCGCAAAAACTACCGTATTTTTAAAAATCTACCGCAAAACTACCGCATTTTTTCTAAATCTTCTGTAAAACTACCGCTTTTTTAAAATTTCTACCGCAAAAATACACTTTTTTCAAAAAGCTACCCCAAACCTCTGAAACTACAGTATTTTTTAAAAATCTACCGCAAAAACTACCATTTTTTTTAATTTACCGCAAAAACTACCATTTTTTTTAAATCTACCGCAAAAACTACCGTTTTTAAAAAAATCTACCGCAAAAACTACCGCATTTTTGTTGAAAAATACCGCAAAATCTACCGCATTTTGAAAAAATCTACCGCAAAAATACAGCAATTTTAAAAAAATCTACCGCAAAATTTTGGTCTTAGGTTGGCAGGTATGGAAGCTGAACGCAGTCTATATTCCGTATTTTTCACTTCAAAAAAATATTTTTTCCCATTGACTTAACATGGGCACCAAATTTAGCGATTTTTGAGTTTTCAAAACGCCATAACTTCCGAACTGGAAGTCAGATCCAAATTTCGTTTTCAGATTCGGAATCCTGAGAAAATTTCCTATAAGACTAATATCCTGGACATTTGATTCGGAGAACTTTATTTTGGACCTCGTTTTCGGACACTGATATCTCGAAATCACTTTGAGATATCAAAAAACTAAATCGACCCTAGGTTTCCTACTTTTTTATAAGGAACACAATGAAAAAAACCCGGATCGAAAATATTGAAGGACGACCGAGAAAATCGAAAAAAGTGACAAAGTACTGGATTTGACCTAGTTCTTGACCTTTGACCTAGATAAAAATTTGACCCAATTTCCGAGGAACTAGATACTGGACATAAATTGACTGAATAATGATCTTTATTGGAAATCTTATGGTTATCGAGAAAACTGGGAAAGAAAAATAATAAAGAATAATAATAAAAAGAAGAAGAATACTGGCAAAAACAATAGACTCCAGATTGACATCTGGAGTCTAATAATAAATATAAATAAATATGCATATCATTTATGGATATATACTATAAGATACAACGTGCATGCCACAACTTTACCTATTTTAAGGTATGATGAGTAGAGTGAGTTACCTTGCTTATTTGAACATAAAAATAAACACTTTACAAATGTTTGCATTCTTGTGTTAAATGCACAAACAGGTCCTTAAAAGTCTGTTATTAACCATAGACAATAAAAGGTGGACAGAGTTTGTGAGCCTCTTACACTGACGATAGGTCAGCGTAACAAGATGGAAGAACTTCAGGGCTTTTTTGACGTATAATCAGTATAACTAGGTGAGTACCAGTGTTTAGAAGATGGTAGAAAGAAGTTTATATACAGATAAAGAATATACACAGATGTATCAAAGAATTTTAAGATACTAATGTTGGGAACAGTATTTCTTATGTACATTTATATAATGCTTTAAGTTTAATGTCATAGAGGAGTGCAATTTTTACTGCTTTAACTGCTTTAGTAAAGTTCATTTTGGACCACTATTTTAGGTAAGTTAGTAACTCTTGGTTGTGAGTGTCAGTATCAGAAATTACCTTAAAGCGGCTCTAAGGTCTGTGGAGAGAAAAATGGAGAAATTTTACCTTTTCTGAGCTATCGGGGCGAAGTTTGGTCTAACATCTTCTTCCTTATTCCTATTTTATAAAAATGTATGCATATGGCAATATTCATCAACCAGTAGAACTGGCAAATCGTTTTGAATCTACAATTCCATACAAGGAGTCCCAATTTTTAAAATTCTTTCCAAGTCGACGTCGAAACACCTAGCGGTTGAAATTGAAACTAATTTTTCTGGCCGCTTGAATCGATAAAATCTCTGACAGTGTGAGTCTTTTTACGAAAATTTTCTTATAGAAATCACTTGACGATTATTAGAAAGCATTAAAAGTTTAAACTGAAGCGTAATCTGAAATAAAAGTGAAAAAAAATTGCGTGGACGACAGAGAACAAACTTCCGGTTTAATAAAAAATGGCGGAGACGAAAGGAGAAATGAAGACGAAAAGTTGGAGGATTTTCCTTTGCCATTATCGATCGATATAAGGTATGTGCACAAATTCTAGTTGCATACATGGAAAATAGAACCATTTTTGAAGGCAACAACATATTCAAAGCTTTCATTTTACGATAGGCCCAGGATCAATGGATACGACTCGGCAGTCGATATTCCCACTTTAAGGCATAACAACTTCTCTGGTATTGTAATTCACCTATATTATCGCAGCACTGGTAAAGATCAATAGAGGTTGTTAAGATATACTTGAACATTGTGAGCCCATGCTAATTGTATAATGTTGGGATGTCTCAATCTGAATCAGACATGCTGCCAGGCCAAGAAAGTGTAAGAAATATAGCATGCAACTTCTTTCAATTCAAATGATGCATCAGATCAGATGTCATGCCATGTAGCTTTGGAGGACAACACATTTGTAAACATGCTGTGTAATAAATAAGAGGAGAATGTTGACCTAGTGATATAGTACTCGACTAGTGCTGAAATGTATTTCTTGGTCAAAATACATCCTCCAAACGCAGCTGGCAGACACCATCCACTATGCTCCTGTGGATGATGTCTGGATGCCCTGCATTTTGATGATGTTCATAGTACAGCACATTTCCCCAAGTAGTCCTAGCCAAAAGGGGTAACCAGTCAATCAGTCATGCACTGTTTCAATCTATAGCACAACTTGATTACAACTACTTCATGTCATCTCTGCACAGAAGACCAAACAGCAAACTTTTGACACACTTTACAATAAGATACCCTAACATAGATGTCATAATGAAAGCAAACACTCAGAACAAACAGCTGGAAACCATTGATCACACACTATTTATAATCTACAATATAATACAGATTTCACATGTCACAATGCAAAACAGAACACCAGAATGATACAGATTTACCAAAGACATTCTACAATACGCTTCTCAAAGGAAGAAATAATTCAAGATATCACAAAAGCAACAATATAATATACATGGCAATGAAACAATTCTAGAAATTTGACTCATTTGGCAGTAATAACCATCGAAACTACAAAAACATTATAATTAAAGGAATATTCCTTGCCAAACCATCTCTCTCTCATATGGAAGCTAAAACCATATATATGCTTGCCATGTTTAGCAAAACACGCAAAAATGTTTTGATATGGTCAAATTTGATCACTTAGAAATGTGATGCTCAATTCCAGTAAGCTGCCATCTTTTAAAATTTCACACAGGAAGTGATGTCATCGACTCTCAACTTTGCATATAGCATTAGGTGAGGAGCTATTAAGAATTACAAAACCAGCTAAATATTCTTTTTCAACTTTGTATCTTATTTAATCCTTCTGGAAATCTCTTCTTTTATTCTAAGTTGACAAGCCCTGAAAATATTTTTGCACAGAAAGTAATGATCACTTGTCTAGAAGTGATTTTGTGCTACTTTCCTATACTGTTATGGGCAAGGTTATAGAAGTTGAGAGTTGATGACATCACTTCCTGCAAGAAATCTTAAAAGATGGCAGCTCACTGGAAATAAGCACTAGATTTTTAAATGATCAATATTGACCATATTAAAACATTTTCCCATGTTTTGCTAAATATGAAAACTATATATATGATTATAGCTACCATATCAAGGGAGAAAGGGTCTGGCAAGGAATATTCCTTTAAGGGTTCCACAATTCCTTGCATCATATTGATTGTGGAGCATATCAGCTTGTATCAAAAAATATTTTGAATATCGTAATTATTTGTATCTCTATTGAAACTCAAACTTCTATTAACTATTTACTGATAAACTGTACATTTGTTTGCGCTTGACTATCATATTATGAAGTAAATATCGCTGCTTGATCGATTTTGAAGAATATGTCTCATGGGACCCCTACTTATAACACATACATAATCCCAACAAATAGGAAGAAGACATGGCTTTACATGCATCAAACAATGCAGTTCTCACACATGCTGTTCTGACCTACTTACACTATATATGGCAGAGGAATAAAAACACAGAGATATAGAAGACCATAATATGATCATTAGGTATAAGATTATAGAACATGCCATTAGTGCAATGAAAACCAGAACAACGGCAACGCCAAAGCGTAGCGAATCCCATCGAACAGCCATGGGTGGCATTTTTACAAACAAAGTATATAGCAAAAATGGCAGCCATTTTTCAAAATGGCTGCCTTCTATTAAAAGTGTCATTAGACCATGTGCGATGCTTATAGTATTCATATACCAAATATGAACAAAATCACTCCACTACTTTTCAAGTTATATTAAAAATGTTAAAATGGCGGCCATTTTTCAAAATAAGACAGTGTGCCGTGCTTATAGTATTTACATACCAAATATAAACAAAATCGCTCCACTACTTTTCGAGTTATAGTAAAATACGTTAAAATGGCGGCCATTTTGAAAAATGACCGCCTTCTACCAAAAGTGTCATTAGACAGTGTGCCATGCTGACAGTATTCACATACCAAATATGAAAAAATCGATTCACTACTTTTCGAGTTGTAGTAAAATATGTTAAAATGGCGGCCATTTTTCAAAATGGCCGCCTTCTTTCAAAAGTGTCATAGGACAGTGTGTCATGCTTATAGTATTCACATACCAAATATGAACAAAATCGCTTCACTACTTTTCGAGTTATAGTAAAATATGTTAAAATGGCGGCCATTTTTCAAATTTTTTTTCAAAATGGCCGCCTTCTTTCAAAAGTGTCATAGGACAGTGTGTCATGCTTATAGTATTCACATACCAAATATGAACAAAATCGCTCCACTACTTTTCGTGTTATAGTAAAATACGTTAAAATGGTGGCCATTTTTCAAAATGGCCGCCTTCTACCAAAAGTGTCTTTAGACAGTGTGCAATGTTTATAGTATTCACATACCAAATATGAACAAAATCGCTCCACTACTTTTTGAGTTACAGCAAAAATCGCAAAATAACGAGTAAAGGCCGCCATTTTTCAAGATGGCTGCCATGTGCTACTTTAATATCTACATTTCTAGCTTTATTAATGTCCTATATAATTTTTTTACATCTAAAACATATTGCTATTACAGTTTTACATATTGCACCTAAATAACTGTAAATTCGGCACTAAAATGGCCGCCATTTTGAAATGAGCGGCCATTTTGAAAATCGGCTTTCGAGCAGAACTTCTACATCCATAGGCTATATGTGTACAAAATATGAACAAAATCGGGCCAACGGTATTTGAGTTATTGCCCGGACAGACGGACGGACGGAGGCGTTCCCTATATCCTTCCGAACTTCGTTCGATGGGATAATAATGTCACTACCCAGTTTACCTTTCTGCTGTAGCTCCAGTAACATTTCTAAAATAAGTGTAGATAGCATGTTAGACTGAATATAAATATATAAAAAATTGGACATTAAAAAAATAACATTTATATAGAAAAATAATAGCCTAATTTCAACTCCAGTCTTATGCAGATGCAAGGACTGCAACATTAAGTAGATACAAATAGCATTATAAAATATTTGGAATATCTAATCAACATGATTAAAATTAATTAAATTGATAAACAAGGAATCATCCAAAATGTCACCACCTGTCATTTGTTACAAATGCCAAACGCTAACCACTGAACACAAAGCGCCGAACACCATCCACAAAAAAACTTGGGAGAATATAACAATATCTCCCCTTTTCTGGTGGTGACATAAAAAGTTATGTTGTGTATTTTACCTTCACTTTTCCTGCGCTGCTCCTCTGTATGCTGCACCCTGGAGCTGAGCTCTTTCTCTTGATTATTCAACATCTGTTCTTTCTCCTCCAGTCTAAATTAGAAATACAAAAGTACAAATACAGCCCCAACAAGTAAAACAGATTGACTAAGTCGAGAGTGGATCCAGAAGCTAACAAGGGGGGGGGGGCATATTTCAAGTGAGAATAAAGGAAAAAATTGGGGGTCTATGGGGTGGGGGGATGGGCCCCCAGAATCTGGCAGTGTAAGTAATGTAATTTTGGATATAGGAACCTCTGATATTAAAAACTTGGGCTAAAATATATACTCTTGTGGATTGGTAGAAAGTGTTAATATACATAAAAGGTTGTCCAAAAATAGGATATAAATGATTTCTGTAGAATGAATCATCTAATCCTCTTGAAAGATGAACTTACAGTTTTCTCTCACTATCAAAGTTAGATTGTTCTTCAGACATGTGCTTTTCTAAGTCTTCATGTTGCATGTGAACTTCTGCTCTGGCACCTTCAATTCTGTCACTCTCTGCCTCAGCTGCATGTATCAAATCTTCCTTCTCTTGTTTCAAATGTTGCTGTTCTTTATCAACCTCCTCAAGCATATCGGAATAGTCTTGATTCAGCTTGACTAGTTTATGTTTGCATACTTCATTGGCACTTTGATGTTCTTGTAGCGTTTCACCAGTTTTCTTTATTGCACTTTGAATATATTCTACACTGCCTTTAAGGCGATCTTCTAGTTTGTTTTTTTCTTGTTGAATTATGCTTAATTCTTCCTTCTGTGATTTTTCTAGTGATTTTAGTTCATTATGAACGACCCTGTCAACTTCTGCTTCTTTTAATCTCAGTTTTTCTTCATCTTCCAATACATGGACTTTTTGAACCTCTGCCCTTATTAGTTCTTTCCGTAATTTCTCTTCCTCGGTAGCATTTTCAAATTCACCATTTTTTAGTTGTTCACGTAGAGAACCCTCCCTTGCAATAATGCCCTGTTTCTTATCTTCTAACTTCTTCTGATTATCTTTCAAGTCCTTTGTAATTTTGTTCTTGATTTCTACTTCCTTTTTGGCAAAACTTTCTTTGACTTCATGTTCTAGAGAAGTAATGTCACTAAGGGCATCTTGCACCTTCTTCAGTTCACTGTCCATTTCTTGTTTTGATTGGTCGTCCATTTCAGAAACACGTTGGCAAGCATCTTGCAGATCTTTATCAAGTTTTTCAAGTTTCACTTCCTTCTCCGCTATGAGTCTAATGTTCTGCAATACAGAGAGCACATACATAAGATGATGTTTTTGAGTGAAATCAAATTAATGCAACAGGTAGAAAGAAATAGGAATAGGCTTAATCTCATTCTCAAGTATGTATGTACTGTACAATAATGAGTTTGAAGGCATGGTATTCAGATTAATCTTAATCACATATGAAACAACTAGTGGACTCTGCAATGGGATGTAGAGCTGTCAATCTAAATGCTTAAGATTTGCATGGCACTAACTATCTCACTGAAACATTTTAATATTAATTCTGCAAATGGTGCACTCTTATTTCTGGCACTCATATTTAAAACCTTTTTACTTTATACAAAATTTCAGGCAACATCAAGGATCACCACCCCTTTGCCCTCTATCTCTCCCTCTCTCTCTAATTTTCGTAACTGCCCTATGTAAAAAACGTATTCCTCTTAGAATGCCTTGCATCATGGGTACTGATTCTCCATGATTTCTTGAGTTCTGAGTTCAACCATATTTTTAAACTTTTAATTAATAAATTGATCATCTATTATGGGTGTAAAAAGTGTGAAGTGAGAAAGCAATGAGCAGATACCTGGTGCAACATTCTTTACAGAAATTCAAAATTCCATTCCGTGCAAGCCCCTTTTCTATGTAATTAAGCTATGTTACAAATAACAACAACATAATGGCTTACTTCTGATTTCTCCCATTGAAGAAGTTGTTGACGACTCTTCTGTTCAACTTCCCCATCTGCCACCTTCTGTTCCAACTCTTGTTCACGCTCAGCAATTTGGGTCAGCCTCATTTCCAAATCCCGCTTCTGCTTCTCTTCTTCAGTTTCAAGGTCATCGATTTTCTAATCAAAGATCAATTTATTTAAAATTAAACAAGGTATTAACATACAAAATGTCACCACCTGCCATTTGTTACAGACACCAAACAATGAACATCAACCACTGAACACTAACTACTGTCCACAAAAAGTTGAAACTGTAACAATATGTCCATACTACTGTGACATAAAACTGTATTATTAAGAGGTGAGTTGAGAGTGACTCCTATGCTTGGAACATCCCCATGTTATGCCCTTTAAAAAAGGTCCAACAGTTCTCAGATGATTTTATTTTGCAATAATTCTGGAAAATGGATTTAGATCACCAATAACTGACTTTATTTGATCAGATATCTCAATTCTTGCTTCACATATGATAACAAGGCACTAATAACGTGCAAAATGTCACCACCTGCCATTTGTTACAAACACCAAATGCCAAACACCAACCACCAAAAGCCAAACACCATCCAAAACGTGAGGAGACCATGTCAATATGTCATCACTTGTGGTGGTGACATAATAAAAGTACATTAAGCTGATATACGAGAGATATCATTTTCAAACTGTTTGCTAAATTAAGCAGAAACACAGCAGTTATCCCTACAACTAAATTTTAAATAATTGAAATAAGAAATAAGGGAATTAAAAATAATCTTTGTCATTGCATGCAAAATGTAATTCATAAACCACTGCAATTTTGATTTTTCCCAAACATCCAATGCAGATGGTCATCTCAATTTAAATAAAAAAAATAGATGGGATAGTTCATTTATACACATACACAACATCAAAATAAAGAAAAAAGAGTAAATTAAGAATATGCAAAATTAAGATATACTCTACCTCTTGTAACTCAGCCTTGGCTATTTTAATTTCATCTTCAAAATCTAAAACTCTCCGCTCGAAATCATCCTAAAAGTTATACAACACAGTACTCATACAAAACTAAAACAAATTAATATTTTATTACAAAATCTAGAATATTAGCAAAAAACATCAGACATATTACTAAACAAGCTATTTATACATACATGCAGTTAAAGAAGCTAATCAAATTAATTATATAGACATCTATATATATATAACAAGGTCACAATTTCAATTAAATTGATTATAAACAAGCGATTTTTTTTCGAATGTTGTCCTTTGCACTTTCTGACTGATTAATAGAATAGAGTAACATGTATTCAATGCCAATATTATGTTATGGCAAAGTAAATCACATTTTCGTAAAAAAAATAGGGAAAACAGCCATGAGGCAGTTAGCAATATGTGTGCATGCTTGATAAAAAATCATTTTGTACAAACTCAAAAGTTGAGACAGTAAACGATGGCACTGTATCATAGGCCTGCAAATGTTTTGTTCATTCTATTCAATTACATGTTGTTTCAATGAAGTCATTGGAATCACATAAAATATCAAAAGTAGATTAATTTCTGGTAGTAAGTTCAATTTAAACCACACAACAATTGAAACTAAACTAAATTACAATCAAGAAAACATATTCCAGTTAAATACTATGGTAGCAGATACAGCGTAGTAGATTTGAATGAAATATATTTCTTACCCATTTAGTTTTCAATTCATCTTGCTCTCTCTCTAAATTAACCTGCTCCTCATCCTGACAATGAAGCTGACTCTGAAGGTCAAAACTTCTGCTCCTCTGTTTTTCCTCCTCTGTCTTTATACTTCCATGAATCTGTAAAGAAATTAACTTGCAATGTGATGAATTTCCACACCCCGAACCTGGTTATAATGAGCTAGAACTGCCACCATTTGGTGAGCTCACATGGTGCTTCTAGTGCTTGTACTTATTTTGAAATAAAGGCCAAGTTGCGAAAGAAGGTTAAATTCCAATTTTATACATTACAAAGCGTTGCACTTTTAATTAACATGACACTCATTAGATATTAAATATAGCTTTGGCTAGAGGTCGCATCTTGTTCATTAAGAACATTGTCTAGTGAATAACATCATATAATTTTCCAGGAGTGTAAATTTACGCATCATTTATGAACATCAGTAATAAGGTATGCCTACAGTACAGATGCATGTCTGATTTGATTTAGATTTATAGTACATAAAATTGTAGGAACTGATACATGATATGTTGTGATAATGATATGTTGAAAAAACTTTCGATTGATTGAATGCATTAATTTTCACCATAAAAACCTCAAACCTCTATGTGAATAATTGAACTGCAAAAATGATAGGGTGTCTAGAGAAAACTGTAAAAGCTAGAACCGACACTGATAGTTCTCTACATCAAAGGCTACATATATAATCTGGTTTTAAAACATTACAAATGGTACAGAGGTTGTATGTTGTGACAAATGTGAAATGTCGCAATAAGATGCACCTCAGCTGCATATTTTCTCAACTGCTCAGATTCTAACTGCAAAGACTCCAATTTATCTGTTAGATCTTTTATCTCTTCTTCTTTAGTCTCCAACTGAAGGTTACGCTCATCCTCCTTAGTTTTATACTGGTCTTCCAGTTCCTCGATGTGGCGTCTCTTTTCCTCAAGCTTCTCAACATCCTCTTGGTGCCGCTGCTCCCAGTCTGGACTGTAAACAAGATTTTAGATATGAATAAATGTTAACATGGTGACAATGCTCCCACCAGTTTATTGTGCTTAGTCGAAGAAATTAAGCAGAGGTAAATATTTTAATTAAAATCCAATTCTCATATTTTTATTTTATTGTCATGGTAACATATCCATGAACATTCCCTGAATATTCTCTGAATATGCCTAAATAATACATTGCTCACTCACACGTCATCAGAATGTTATATTTATTGTGAAATTGCAAGAATTGTAAGGCCCATAATTTGAACGTTAGTTAGAAAGTCCTTTAAAACAATCATTCAGCATCATTTTAGTTATGCCTTAAAACCCCAATTATTAGTATTGCAATTGTAAAGACTGTATAACCTTTATGTATGAAGTGGAAAAACTACCACAGAATAGTTTTAGCATAATTGCAGCATATCAAAAGGTGAATAGTTGAACATTATACTTACCCAGGACTAAACAAAGCAAGGTTGTCTAAAGAGCCCATTGATCGACTTATGTCTGTCATAGATTGACTAAGGAGAGACATCCTTGATATATTCAAGCTCCTGTTGGTGGTAGAAGGTGACTGAAACATATTGATTGTACACATACAATGGGCATGAGACAAATTGATTGTGAACATACAATGGGGATTATACAAATTGATTGCACACATACAATGGGCATGAGACAAATTGATTGCACACATACAATGGGCATGAGACAAATTGATTGCACACATACAATGTTTGTACACATAAAATGGGCATGATACAAATTGATTGCACACATACAATGATTGTATTCATACAATGGGCATGATACAATTGATTGTACACATACAATGGGCATGGTTTTATTTGCTAACTTGTTCTATTAAGACATATATATTACTAGTCTCTCTGAATTAATGTTTTATTTGAGATGTATTTAAGAATGTTTTAGACTTGATGCTGAGTTATCGTAAAGGTAATGATATATACTCTGTATGTCCAACAATGATGTTCTTACATTGTTATATTCTTCTCTCAGCTTGGCTGCCTCAGCCGGATGATTGAAGCGGAACATATTGGTTGATCCTAGTAGAATCACAGCACCTACGTAAGCATAATAGGAACATAGTACAGTCATTAAGTGGATGTATTCTTTTACAGTAAAACCTGCCTATATGAACACCTCTATAGGATCAACTCAAAGTGTTCAGATTAGCATTCATTAACTTCTAATAAAAAGTAACTTTCACTTTTACTTCAGTATCCCATTTTCCTTCACAAAATGTTTATGGCCGTGAATGGCTACTATAGTAACAAAAGTTACATTTCAAACTTGATTTACACTAAATGTTCATGCATCTTGACAAAACAGTCTATTCATACCTTGATTTAGTTTAGTTGGTTCACTAATCTTAGTTCCATTAATGATGCATACCCCTCCTGGCAGGGGACATAAGGTTACCACTCCAGAGCTGTGTTTGATTGTACAGTGCTCATCCTCCACATCTAACCCTGTGAGGACTATGTCCTGTTTTACCTTGGCATCTTGTGTTCCAATTGTAGTAGTACCCTCCTACAAAAGATACATATTAAAGATAATACTAATAGAAGTAGAAGTAAGTAGAAGTTTAGACATGGGCTTTCCAGAGAAAGCTTTTGAAAGCCAAAATGGTTCATCATATGCTGTTTTATCATCATATTCAATTCTGTACCAATCAGTCGAAATTTTCATTATTGTGAGGTGTTCTACTTACAGAAGCATTCCACTTAGCAGTTTCTACTGTACAGTAAATTACATAAGATACACAATGCATTCAATACCTTGAGATGGTAGAGCATGATTCCTGTACTGAGGATATCATCATCTATACCTATAAGATGAGGCAGGTCAGAGTCAAGTACTACACCCAGGCCAGATTTTCTTAATGCAAGCGTCTTTTGCTCCTGAAACAGAAAAAACAGGTACATGAGAAACTGCAAGAGTATTGACTTCTCACCTGGTAGATTTCCCAATACTATTCACTTCATGATGACACTATTGCTCACTTCTCACTTGGAAGATTTCCCAATACTATTCACTTCATGATGACACTATTGCTCAAACAGTTCATATCATGGATATACAATTATAACACAGATTCCCAGTCAATCTATGGAAAGGTCAATGAGAATCATCTTGCAATAAAGAAGAAAAGACCAGAAGCAAAATTTGTCACAATCTTAAATACTAAACAAGACAGTCCTTAGATGTCAGTCTTATAGCTGTTAGTGCTAATCTGTTAATAATGACTGAATTAAACATATCATAATATACACGTGCATGGTTTTATTCCAGAGTAAGACTTTCACAATGCACATGACTTTATTTCTACATTTTACAACAATCAATAAACACAAACTACAACTATATGAACAGAGAGTATATTTAAATTTCTGGTTGTAAAATTCAAGTGTTCTGATATTATAGTTACTAGGAGTCAAACAATTCCTCTATATTGTTTAATATCATGTTTTCTGATCTTCACATTACCTGTAGAATCGTCTGGGCCTCCCACCACTTTCCCGCCCACTCATCCGTCAAAACTTTAACACGAGCCTCACTCTCATGTAATCTTTCCTGTACCTTTGGGGTTGTCATCTGATCCTGAAATTGTATGAATGCAATGTACGTTTGTTTCTTAATAGTATTTTAATATACAAAAGCTAAACATTTTAGATATCGTGTGTATAGTTGATTAAGAATTGAGGGAAATACAAACTGAAATGTAACTGGTTATCACTGATTTAAAGATTTGATGTTGGTTGGGAATATATATTTTTTGTTAATAACCAACCTCTTCACAAAACTTTTTGAGAAAAACAAGCTGATAATAATATTTGAGTCAATCACTTGGCGTGGGAAAAATAGACTTCTCTAAAAAGATAAATTATCAAATAAACCCATGTGGAGTCAGTCTACACTTTCAGGTTATTTAGTGCTGTACCAATGGTCCAGACCGACTTCTATTCATACTGTCCCGTAAAAATTGAAAATTGACGGACCGTGTGACCGATGTGTAAAAAGGATAATGTCAGCTAGGATAAACGCACTACACTTGACGTCCCAGATTGTCTGAGAGAAGCACACATTGGGTTGTGGTTTGATTACACATTGGTTACTGAAATAATATGTAAATCAACTTACTATATTTCCACCTAAAAGCATCTTGAGTCGGGATATTTCAGCTCTAAGTTCCCTGATCAGTTTAACATTGGGATCTTCATTGACAGTGGGTTTGTTAATGATGTCTTTTGCCCTGTTAGCATAGCGTAGTGTACTGAGCGTTTCTGCATAGTTTACATCTGCTGGGGAAATGGCTGCAAAGAAAATGAAACTTTGCTGGAAATTCACCTAATTGCATATATACAATGTTTATGTATAATTGGCTGCTCCTCTTTGACCGGAATAGCAGTTTTATTAATTTTAGCTGGGATAAATATACTTGAGAATATTAATTTCAGATTTGTGACAAAATTCATTCCATTTTAGTAGGCTGATTGTAAGTTGTAAGTGGAGAGGAACATTTCAAATGCAAGTTTTTGAATGGGACTTCCTACAAGGGCCGATCAAAAGGTTTCTTACCATTGGCTCTCGATTTTATAATAAGAGGAGTTGGATGCTCAAACTTTAACGTGAGACAGGATAGTTAGTTTGCTTGAGACTGTACGAGTTTCATATAAATTGGTTAATTGGTAGTGACACCGAGTCAATGCATATTTTCAATGACAAAAAGTTTTTTGAAGATATCATGAATAGAGCAATATATATTCCAGAGACGTGACTTACTAGCAATCATGATGGTCTTTGCATTACCCCCCAGACTGTCCTTCAGGAGCCAGGTGAGGATGGAATCCCTATAGGGAATGAACAGCTGCTTCTTCTGGCTACCACTCTTCACAGACATGTCAGCTAGAAATATAAATGTTCATATATGTTACAATGATCCTGAAGACAGCTGCTTCTTCTGGCTACCACTCTTCACAGACATGTCAGCTAGAAATATAAATGTTCATATATGTTACAATGATCCTGAAGACAGCTGCTTCTTCTGGCTACCACTCTTCACAGACATGTCAGCTAGAAATATAAATGTTCATATATGTTACAATGATCCTGAAGACAGCTGCTTCTTCTGGCTACCACTCTTCACAGACATGTCAGCTAGAAATATACAGGTTCATATATGTTACAATGATCCTGAAGACTGAAAAGGGTAGTGATTCCAAATATATTTTTAACAGGGTGGCAAGTAATTTTCAATTTTTCAAGGGGGTTAAGAAGTTAAGTACCTGGTTGCTCTAATGCTGGGAAAATCACTATGAGTGGCTTCCTCCAAAGCTTAATATGGATAAAGCATTAGACTTCTAATCCGAAGGTCCTGGGTTCAAATCCAGGTCATCTTGGCATTGGTATCTGACTTATTATCTGCTATACCAGGGAGGTGATTACTAGAGTGCAACTGGCTTGATAAAAGGCCTATTTTCACTTAAATTTTATAATATACAACGTTCAAATATCTATGAACAACTATAAAAAGGAGGAAACATTAAATCCAACCAAGAAAAACAAGCTCAAAATATCTGTCGTGATTCTACCTACCTAATGTGGATATAACATTGCCTAATGTCACCAAGGATCGGTTAATATTTGCTCCTTCTTTCAATCTCACTCCTGTAGCCCCAGTGGCATCTGCCCTCTCACTAAAAACAATAACAGGCCATTCAATGATATGAATGTACTTCATATAAGGCTTACAGTTTTGAGAACATATAATCTCACCATATTTTACCCATTCATTACCATTATATTAACAGATCTGAAACAATTGGTAAAATAAAATGAAATATACATACTACTGTACTATATAAGAGGGATGATTCAAAAGTAATAGACAAAATTTGATGTATTTTTCACCTAGGTTAGATTATTCAATTATCTACTATAAAGTAATCGATATTCCACAATAAAATTATATCCAGTATAGGGCCATGATGTAAGACTCACACAAAGACAAGAATAGAATTTTGAGCAAAAACATCTAGTAACATAATGTAAACATATTTACATTCAATGTAAATATGTTTACATTATGTTACTAGATGCGAAAAGCTCCGGGGTTTGCCGGCGACCGGGGGTTGGCAATTTGCCAGGGGCGAAAAAATTCTCTATGGGAATTTAACATAGGCCGGGGTCTGCTATCGGGGGCATTTGGGGGCAATTGCCTAGGGCTAAACAAAAGAATTTCGGGGTTGCCAGGGTTGACGGGGTTGGCATTATTGAGTGCCGGGGTTATGACAAGGGTAGATTTTGGGGGCATTTTGTGGTTAAAATTATGCCGGGAGGCTGCCGTGGGCCTGCCAGGGGCAGTAAAAATTATTTTAAAAATTAGAAAATCTCACCTCAATGCAAGTCAATTTTGTTTGAAATGCCTATTCTAATGTATGAACATTATTTTTTCAGAGAAATTGTACAGTGTACCCGTTATTTCAGACCATGGCTATGACGGCTAAAGTTCATGCAATATTAAAACTATCTCTTACATATTGAAATTAATGGTATACATCCACATTGGATTAACATTATATTAGGAATGTCAAGGTTTCCTGATATTATCCCTCAGGACTTTGACATCATTATCAAATAAAAATAAAAATAGTACCATGGGTACTGGGCTCACATGGTGTTGCTCAAAAGTGAATGATGGCTAAAATGACAACAATTAAAAAAAACGGATAATTTTTTGCCAGCTTTTTGTAACGAAATTATTTTATACAGCTACTTTTTACAAAGACATGGCGTTTTACAATGCAGGACACGTGGAATTATTTGTAAAGCTAGGAAATGGGCCAAAAGTGGATTTTGTGAGACAAAAATGGGAGCCATTTTGAAAATAGGTGTGCTTTTGAACCAAGAGTTTTTTGTATTGATGTTGAACAAAAATAACTTAAAACTGGAATCCTATCGATCGAGGTTTTAAGGCAAATGGTCAAAAGAGGATTTCGCGAGACAGATGGACAAATCAATGTTAACTAAATGGCTGAAAATAAAAAAAATGGATATAATTTTTCGCCGATTTTTTGTAACAAAATTATTTCATTCAACTACTCTTTATAGTGACATGGCTTTTCACAATGCAGGACACCTGAAATTATTTGTAAACCTAGGAAATGGGCCAAAAGTGAATTTCGCGAGACAAAAATGGCTACCATTTTGAAAATAGGCGAAATTTTGAATCAGGAGTCATAGGGGATTTTTCTGTATTGATGTTGAACAGAAATAACTTAAAACGGGAATCCTATCGACAGAGGTTTTAAAACGTGGCACTATTGTTGATGGATGGATGCGCGGACGGACACACGGACAGACAGACGGACAAGTGAGTGATTGCAAAAGCTCACCATGTGAGCTAAAAAGTTGAAGCAAGCAATCATTTTAATCCCCCATGTTAGGGAATATTGGAACTCTGCAGACAATGACAGACATTGTTTTACTGAACTTCACTAAATAGATTTAGTAAATCAGTTTTTCTTACATTTTCAACCTTTATAAATGAACTACTATTAGGATATGTTCTGTAATAGAATTTAATTGTTCAGTACAAGAAAAGATATTTCAATTTTAAAGAAAATAAAAATTGAAAGTTGATCAATAATTTTTAAAACTTCATTTCTAGATGCGATTTTATGATGTCACTTTGACATTTCAAATGACTTTTAAAGATGAAAATCAAGCTTATTTCTTCTTGCATCTTGTCTATTGAATGGTGGCATTTGGTTACATGTACAGTACTTGAATTGTTTTACTTTTACAATTGTTGAATGTTGGGAATTATAGTCCCAAGAAAAGCAGGAAAAAACATTGAGATGCTGTATTATACACACAACAAAGGCTACTCTACTAAGATATACTATGTTCTTATGAAAATCATAATTGATGGAAAACTGTCTTGTTACTGCTAATATACAATTCTCATTGAGTTACACAGTGACTTGGAGTTAATATACAAGCTTTTTGGACTCTTAAAACAGATGTGAGAAATTGTCATATTAGAAATATTTTTTTTCATAATGCAAGAAAACTAGAAATGGAAATAAAATGTCCCCATTTTATTTCCCCATAACTGCATAAAAGGCACAAAACTCTTTACAGGATTGATACAAGTGTTTAACAAACCTCCCATCGAACTCCCCCCCCCTGGCTACAGGCCTGAATGCTAGACCATAATCATGACATATTACATCTTTCTCCTGATATATATGTATACCATTCATTGACTTGGAGAATAGTATAGACACAATATTGAAGAGTACTTTATATATTAATTATAATAGTGCAATCAACAACTGGTCTTGTTGTCAGCCCCAATTCAGTTAATTAACTCCCGGTTCACCTAATTATCCCCCGGTTTACCTAATTATCCCCCGGTTTACCTAATTATCTCCCGGCAGAACTAATTGATTTTTAAAAAGGTAAATTTCAAAATACATGTATCACTTTATTTTAAAAAAAATATTTTATAAGGTTCAAATACACATTTCAATACATAAAAAAATTGATCAAAATTGACCAAATCTTTCAAGACTTAAGATCATCATTATCAAAATTATTATTCGTAACAGACATAGAGTCAGTTTGTCCAATGTTTAATTATAAATGATTCATTTCATCATACTCCTTATCTAAAATTATATTATCCTTTAATGACTCTAGATTCTTAAAACGGTCAGCTTGAAAATTGAAAATTATCAAATTGAAACATTGGTAATAAAACGTTATTGTCCCTTGAACCATGATACACAAAATTTTCTTAATGATTTGAAATTGCGCCATCCTTTCTTTTTTGAAAAGATATTAATGCTTTGAAAACAGGCAGTAACTTCTCTATATATGTTACGTACATATTGTACATATATTAAATATAAAAACTGATTTTGGGAAGTAGAAACATAAACAAAATTCGTTAAAAAGAGAAGCAATGCAGGTTTCCCATTTACCCACATGAACTAACATTGAGACAGGGCATAATGCTAAACCTACACCATTTTTAGCTGAAGAAAGACTGTATGTGTTGTTTGTAACTATAATGAAGATGAGAAACTTTTTATAAATTGTACAAAGAATGATGAACAAATTATGCTGTATATATCTGCCTGGTTAAGAAATGGAAGTACAGCGTATGTGAAAGTATACTTTATTAGGATGTTTTACAGGAAATAATAAAACATAGTCTAGACTATGTATACAGTAGTTATGATCAAAGAACTGCTGATCCAAATCATTCTTTTCTAAAATTGTTTCGGTTTTAGAATAATTTGGCCTCTTTGTTATGTTTTTTCTAAAATTCCCAGTTAATGAGAAAAACATCAATAAGAAGAACATCAAATCTAAATTGGATTTGGGGGAGGGGGCAGAATTGACTGGCCAGAAATTCTTTCAAAATCATGTAGTTTTTCACAATTCTGAGCACTTTTCACATAATTTTTGCCAAAATTGTTTAAAAGCCCCCCCCCCTTTGCCAAAAGCTCCCCCTTGGTAAAAGCACCCTCCCCCTGGTAAAAACTCCCTATGGACCTGCAGAGAATATCCATAAACACTAGTAAATAAAAAATCTCTTGATCAGGTTGTTTATTCAATGGATAAATATCAAACTTCCAAAAATCAGGATGTTTGCATAACCAATTATAAAATTCAGACTAGGAATGAATGAAAACTTGCTTTTATAAACTGATTATTGGTTCCACATTCATATTTCACATTGGTGGGATGCTATTGTAATAGACTAGATGCGAGTAGAAATAATCTTGATTTACGTCATTAAATATTCAAAATTCATTCAAAGTGATCTCATATTTGAAATCTGCATGTGAAAGTACATCTAGAAATGTGGTTTCGAAAATTGTCTATCAGCTTTGAAAATTTTGTTTTTTTGAAAATGTGACTTCTTGTTCGGGTTGATTCCCCATAGACCCCATGTTACAAAATCACAAAAAGTGAATTATCTTCTCTTGTATTGGACAGATAACATTTTCTTTTACCATACATATTTTAATTTGCATAACTATTAGATACATAAGGGTTATATGAAAACTGAAGAGAAATAATAACATCCTTATCAATAAATTAAAACCAATTTACTTTTAGTGACATGTTAACAAAAAGATTTATCCATTCTAGACTTTATAGATTTTATAGCAGGTTCATATTCACTATTTTTCAAAATAAAGGAAAATGAGAGGTTTCGGATATTTGTTTAAATGATGTAGAATTTAGTTTTGTTAGGGAGGGGGACAAATTTGACCATTCCAAGCAGCGAAACTTGGAACATGGGGTGTACTCTAATGTGGATCTGGAAACAGATTTTCTTAGAAAGTTGAAAAAGCATATTAAAAGGCCATATCACTTTAGAGGTAAAGTAGAGTGTAAATAAAAAAATATCCTTTGATTTCTGATTCATAAGTTCAATACAGACACATTGTAATCTCCCTATCACAATGAAATCAATGCAAGTGTCATCAGACGTCTTTATCCTGTAATGGATGTTTGTTTTGGCTAGGATTAATTGACTATGAATTTGAAGGGGGGGGGGGGGGGGGTGATTTAAATGAATAAGTGGCTGCTTAGTTTTTGGTGCAATACATGCCTCACAGGCCTGTAGCCAGGGGGGGGGGGGGTTCGGGCGGTTCCGGCGAACCCCCCCCCCCCCCCCTGGCCAAAATTTCTTTCAAAATCATGCAGTTTTTCACCATTCTGACTATTTTTTGAGTGATTTTTGGCCAAATTTGCCAAACTGAACCCCCCCTAGATTTTTGGGGAAAAGTGAACCCCCCCTTGGAAAATTCTGGCTACGTCCCTGCCTCAAGAACTGACAAAGTTCTAACTTCTATCAAAACGATATTACTCTTACCAATAGGAAACTGCTCACATTGGGGATGGGGGGGGGGTTTAAGCAATTAGTGGCTGTGCTACACTTGTCTGAAAATCTCACAAGGTTCTCTGAATAAATTAAAAATTGTGAAGTTTGTGACCTGATAAATAAGATAATCCTAGCTTAATAATCCAAAATCGTCCTCTCTATCCCTCTATTTCCCTTATTTTGGAAATCGGACTTTTTGATTTATTAATGATGATGTTATCATGTAGCATTATGATAATGCAATCATTGTACTTTAAACCTTCGTTTAAGATTCTTATAATGAGAAAATTACTAGTATATCAGTGTATTCTGTGCAATGATCTGCACCCCCCCCACCCCCATCAATACCAGCAATACCATATAAACTCTCATAAATAATCAGATTACTAATGTATCACAAGCAACTTTTCTGATTGAATTTTATACCACTCTGTTATGTTCACCATTGTTTCATGAAAAGGAAACATTTGAAAAACACAAAATCCTCTAAATCTCTATATACCATATAAAGCTAACCAAAAGTTGAAAACCAAGTGAAACGTTTTGTTTAGGAACCCCTATTCTTACCAATTAAGATTGATTTTAGTTGTTGAGGCTTAATCAACCAATGTTTTTCTGAGAAAATGAGGAATTCAGCAAGGGTGTATTGACTTAATTGACTTGACATGGGGATATCATAATTTATCCCACGGATACTAAATATATATAGGGATAACAACCCAAGATAATTTTGGTTTGTGCCACTTAAACATATCCAACTCATATAATGTCTTTAAAATAGTATCCGTCGGATACAATTGTTCCATTAGTTTTGAAATTGGTGCCTGGTCGATCCCATAGGCTCACTGTGTGAGCCAAAAACAATTTAGGTCAAATTAAAACCATACAAAAATAGTGACCATAGGATAAATATGATATCCTCTATGATATCTCTCTATGCGATCATCATGAGGATATCACTAAATCCTCATTATCTCAGAAAAACATTGGTTTATAATTGAGTCTCAATCAATAAAATCATGTTACTGAGTATATGTATTTTCAGTTCTAATTGGTAAGAATAGGTGTTCTTGAACAGGAATTAAGTTTAAGCATACTGAAGTCATTTTGAAAATTTGGGTTCAAAAATTATGGAGATGCACCAATACAAAATATGATTTATGTAATTATAAAATGAACAACATTTCCACATACTCCAGACATCTGAAAAATATAGAGGGATGATGGATACAACATAAGAGAGATGTGATTTCAAAAAATGTTATTACTGCCCCGACCTCAGATGTGAAATATGTAACTCGAAAACTAGAAATCAGATTTCAATGAAATTTACACTAAACTGAAGAAAAATTTAAGATTTTATTACAGATAGTCAAATGTCCATTTTTGGGTGACTATTTAGCTTCTCCGGGCTATGATTAGCCTTGCCGGGGAATAATTGGCTGTACCATGGGATAATTGGCTGTGCCATGGAATAATTAGCTGTGCCGTGGGATAATTGGCTGTACCGGGGGATAATTATCTAAACCGAGGTTTAATGTTATTTCAAAGATTCTGAATTTTGTTGATTGCATTACTTGCAGATTGAAAGTCTAGAAAACAAAATTTTTTTTATTCTTTTTCAATTTACCCCCGGGTGCTTTTCTGCAAAAGGTCTCTCTGTAAAATGTGGTAGGCGTTTAGTGTTAAAAGTGTTCTGACAAGTGTTTTTTATGTAACTTTTTATGCTGAATCCAAAAAACCATGTTGGCAAGCTGAAATATGATTATTTAACCCTCAAAATACCATGTTAGTCCCCCTACCCCCAAAATTCACCCCTATCAGGGGGAAAAATTCTTCAACCTAAAATAACTTTGATTTTATGGTTTTTGTAAGTGAAATACATGGACATTGTATAAAATAAACATTTGAAGTATGAATGATACGGATTACCCTTAAGAAATTTGAATAAAAGCAAAAAGTATGTACCCCAGGGGGCAATTTTATGACCCATTTTTTACTTTTCGTGTCATAACTTTTTTTATTAGACAATGATGGATGCTTAAAAAATCCATGTAAAAGGCATAATACCTGGTCTACTTATCCTGCAAGAATCAAAGTAATTCATTTGATAATTGCCTTGAAAAAAATTAGTGAATTTAAGAAAAAATGACATTTTAGCTGGGACTGATTTTATGTGTGACTATAACTGACCCCTATTGCTTTAACATTTATCCCTCTGTGTTCATATATTTAGCATTTTAGAATAAATCTAAAATGTAAAACTTATTTTAGCAAAGTTTTAGGAAGATTTAAGCTTTTTATCATGTTCAACTGTTAAAAATTCATGAAATATGATGTCTAAAATTGATAAGTTAT